AGTTTTTAGAGACAGGGTCTCATTCTTGCTCAGGCTGGTCTTGAACTCCTGAGTTCAGGCGATCCAATCACCTCAGTGTTTCAGAGTGCTAGGATTACAGGCGAGTCAGAACTTTTTTCTCCATCTCCCTCCTTTTTGCCTAACAAATTCCCACTCATCCTTCAAGACACAGATCAAGCATCACCTCCTCTGGGAAGCCATCCCTGATTACTCTCTTTCCATTAGGACTGGAGACCCGTGTGCTTCTTTACTACCTTGCCCTGGCTTCTAGTATAACACTAATAAGGATACTTACTTGTCTTTCACTCCAGCTTTTCTTCAAATTTCTTTACAGAAAAGATTATATTATTCATCTTCTTATCTACAGCATCTACTGTTGTATTGGGATTTTAAAGTGAGAAAGGTTGGTTTGATTGAACTAAGGACTCAGAAGACTGCTACTATGGCTCTTCAGATAAAAACACCTGGAAACCTTTTAGGTAAAGCCCTTGAGATGGGGAGGAAATGAAGTTGAGAGAAAGGTGTGCAGTGTCTCTTTGGCATTCCTTCCTTTTCCGCTTCCAACATCCACCAAGATAGATTAGTCGCCAACATTAACCCTGTTTCTGTGGGGGATGCAAAGATAAAAAGCAAAGTCCTTACCCTCAAGGAGTTCACAGCCTTTGGAGGAGGCAGGGGGAGATGCTCCTTTTCCTGTATCCCTATAGGCTGTCTACTTCAAGGGACTGGGATCCCAATCGTAAGCATTCAGGAGTTCTCAAACTTTTTAAACAGGGGGCCAGTTCACTGTCCCTCAGACCGTTGGAGAGCCAGACTGTGGGCCCCGGGATGAGTCGGCTGCTAAGCAGAACAGGCAGCGGCAGGAAAAACACCCAGCGGACCAGATAAATGTCCTCAGCAGGCCGCATGTGGCCCGTGGACCATAGTTTGAGGATGCCTGAATTCTTTCGTTTAACTCAGATGGTGCTCAAATGTCTCTGCCACGGGTCCACAAGAATATTCTTTGAAAATTATAAACCTAGGCTTGGCGCCCATAGCACAGTGGTTATGGTGCCAGCCACTTACACCTAGGGTGGCAGGTTCAAACCTGGCCCTGGGCCAGCAAAACAACAATGACAACTGCAACAAAAAATAGCCGGGTGTTGTGGCAGGCACCTATAGTACCAGTAACTTGGGAGGCTGAGGCAAGAGAATCGCTTAAACCCAGGAGTTGGAGGTTGCTGTGAGCTGTGATGCCACTGCACTCTACCAAGGGTGACAGAGTGAGACCCTGTCTCAAAAAAATAAAAATAATTTAAAAAGAAAGGAAATTATAAATCTACATATGAGAAAGAGAGAAACAGATCCTAGCATCCAGAAGCTAGCCTGGTACTATGAACTAGGTTTTCTTTGCTGCTGCTAACAGCTGGCCAAGCACTCACAGAACAGATGGTTTTTTTTTTTTTTTCCCCCCTCTGTTGCCTAGGCTAGAGCGCCTTGGCGTTAGTCTAACTCACAGCAACCTTAAACTCCTCAAGTGATCCTCCTGATTCAGCCTCCCAAGTATCTGGGACTATAGGCACCCGCACAGTACTAATTTTTCTGTTTTTAGTAGAGACAGGGTCTTGCTCATGGTCATCTCAAACTCCTGACCTGAATCATTCTTCCTAGCTTGGCCTCCCAGAGAGCTAGGATTATAGGTGTTAGCCACCACACTTGGCCTATTCTCCTCTTGAATACACACAATTTCACAGAACATGAACATCGGATACAGCCACTGTGAAATCTCATGCCTGTAATCCTAGTACTCTGGGAGGCTCAGGCGGTGGATCGTTGAGCTCAGGAGTTTAAGACCAGCCTCAGCAAGAGCAAAACCCCTGTCTCTACTAAAAATGAAAAACAGGTAAGAGGATCACTCAAGCCCAAGAGTTTACTGTGAGTTATGATGCCATAGCACTCTACCAAGGGCGACAAAAATGATAAAATTTTCCCTCTTCACCATTTTTAAGTTGTGTAGTACAGTGGTGTTAACTCTATTTACACTGTTATATAACAGATTTCTTAGAACTTTTTTACCTTGAAAAACCGTAACACTGGGTGGCGCCTGTGGCTCAGTGAGTAGGGCACTGG